AGATGGGGAAGAGAGGGGCACACAGCGATAGAGAGATGGGGAAGAGAGGGGCACGCGGCGATAGAGAGACGGGGAAGAGAGGGGCACACGGCGATAGAGAGACGGGGAAGAGAGGAGCACGCGGTGATAGAGAGATGGGGAGAGAGGGACAGTGAGGAAGACATGAAATAAGACTGGGAGGAAAAGGGAGACATGGATGAAGAGAGGGAGTGTGACGTGGGAAGAGAGTCAATATGATAATGGCAGGCACTTGGGGTTCGGTAAGGACAAAGAACCAAGTGACTGCTTCATTTCTGCAGAAAGTAATAGAATGAAAGCATTGAGGTAATGAGAGCAGAGGTGAGAGAAAGCTGCTGGGACTGCGGAAGCAAAGAGGGAACTGAGGATAAGGAGAAGTTTGGAATAACAGTGAATAAAGATTTTGGATGATCTGGGGGAAGGAAGGGAAACATACCAGGAACAAAAGCCCAGAGGTGGGAGTACAGTGGTGAGGCAGTGTAATGTGTAAATTCCTTAGGCCTAGCATACACATTTTCTGGTTCATGTTGTATGGTGTTTGAATTCTGAAGGTTTCTCCCAGTACCTAAGGTGATGAAACCAGTTTATCTCTCTTTTTGACAGGGACACAAGCTGTAACATAGTCATCAGCAATGAACCATTATTCAGCAGAAAGCCCATCATATTCAACCCAGACTTCTTTGTAGAGAAACTTCGCCATGAGAAGCCAGAGGTGTTTTTGGAACTGGTTGTGAGCAACCTAACACGTCTCATCGACCTTCCTGGAACTGAGTTTGCCCAGCTGATTGGTGAGGAGGAGCCCTGTTTACCAAGCAGCACCAGTTCCAGTTTCTTCCGCTCATTTAACTTCCTGAAACGTAAAGGTCAGTGCAGAATTTAAGATAAATATTGGCACAAATTGCCTGGTGTTCCCGGCCCGTAGCATCATTAACCTCAAATGACTGACCTACATGGCCATCTGCTGATCCATACTTAGCAAAGATTTCATTTTTATGTTTATACCAGCTACACCCGATATAAATCATATCCACCAGGGAGCTTCAATCAATCCTCTTCATGTTACAGATCTTTGTGGCTGTGCTAGAACAAATGAGAGAACAGTATAATCATATGATTGACAATGACCAGTAGCCAGAATATCTAGAGAGATAATCACACCATACATAGGCAGCCGGTTTTAGGGAATCGTTTCATTCACTCCAGAGCAAATTACCCACTTTCAAATCTGAGGTGTCAGGTTGTGGATTTACCACAAGCAACTGTGAGCTACCCACTTCAGACAGTCGTCACACTGGCTGCAGTACTCTATAAATCGGCTATGGTAATGTTCATAGAGTCAGTCTATTATGTCTCTATATTTAATATGGGGAAGCCTAGCACTGAAGTGCAAAAGAAAAGGCTGAAGTATTTGCAGATATCTTCAGCTGGAAGTACCGAGTGGATTATCCTTATTAGCCTCCTCCTGATGTCTGTTGCACCATTATGCCAATGTCTAATCAATTTGATTCACTCTAAATGATATCAAAAAGATAGTAACGGCACTGGATACTGAAAAGTCTACAGGGCCTAACAACATTCCAGCAATTATACTGAAGACTTGTGCTCTACAACTAGCTGTGCCCCTAGCCAAGCTGTTCCGGTACAGGTAGAAAACTGGCAATGTAGAAAATTGTCCAGGTATGGTTTGTGCACAGAAAGGACACATCCAACACAGGCAATTATCGACCTATCAGTCTACACTTGATCATCCAAAAAATAAAGGAAGGGGTCATCAACAGTACTATCAAGCAACTCTTGAAAAGGAATAATCTCTCAACTTGCAGGGTTCCTCTGGGTCGTGTCCTGGGGCCAACCATTTTCAGCTGCTTCATCAATTATTGTGTGAGTGTGTGGCTCGTTGGTCTAGGGGTATGATTCTCGCTTAGGGTAGTGTGTAGTGGTGATATGCGAGAGGTCCCGGGTTCAATTCCCAGACGAGCTCGGGTTTCAGGACAGCACGGTGGCTCAGTGGTTAGCACTGCTGCCTCACATCGCCAGGGACCGGGGTTTGATTCCACCCTTGGACGAATGTGTAGAGTTTGCACCTTCTCCCCGTGTCTGTGTGGGTTTCCTCCGGGTACTCCGGTGGATTGGCCATGCTAAGTTGCCTGTAGTGTTCAGGGATGTGCAGCTTAGGTGGGTTAAAGGGGGATGGATCTGGGTGGGATGCTCCAAGGGTCAGTGTGGACTTGTTGGTCCGAAGGGCCTGTATCCACACTGTAGGGATTCTCTGATCTATGATTAAAAAACCTTCCCTCCATCATTAGGTCAGAAGTGGGGATGCTTATTGATGATGTGTAATATTCAGCACCATTCATGGCACCTCATACTGAATCAATCCCATGTTCATATGCAGCAAGACCTGGACAGATCAAGGCTTGGGCTAAGAAGCAGCAATAACATTCATGTCAGACAAGTGTTAAGCGAAAACTGATTCCAACAAGACAGAATCTAACCATTAGCTCTGATTTTCAATGGCATTACCATCAATGAATTCCCCACCATTAAGATCCTGGAGATACCATAAACCAGAAACTAAACTTGACCAAGCACATACAAGAAACAGTTAAGAGTTCAGGAATTCTATGGTGAGTAAGTCACCACCTGTAGTGGACAGGAGACAAATCCCAAGGCAGAAATACTCTGCACTTTGCTGAAAGGGTGCAGGTGCAACAACACTCAAGAAGCTTGACGCTATCCAGAACAAAATAGCCCACTTGATTGGCATCCCATCCATCACCTTCAACATTCAGACCCTCCATTACAGATGTATAATACCATCTACAAGATGCACTGCAGCAACTCACGAAGGTTCCTTTGATAACATCTTCCAAACCCCTGAAATCTCTACCACCCTGAAGAGCAACAGCACATGTGGGAAAACTACTTCCAAGTTCCTCTTAAGCTACATGCCATCCTGATTTGGAACTATATTGCCATTCCTTCATTGACACTGGGTGAACTCCCTTCCTAGTTCCTAACAACACTGTGGGGGTCTCTCCACTCCAAAAACTGGATACTCAACACTACCTTCTCCAAGGCAACGGGGGAAAGACAGTAATTACTGGAACAAAAACAGAAGTTGCTGGAAAAGCTCAGCAGGTCTGGCAGCATCTGTGAAGAAAAAATCGGAGTTAATGCTTCAGGTCCGGTGACCCTTCCTCAGAACTGGCTTAGCCACTGTCAACACATTGTCTCAAAAAAAACAGCATCTGTCTGCAATTCACCCAGCCACTGTAAACACAACCTCTGAGTCCAGACCTTATTTCCACTCTCTTAAGTCCAAGATACAAACAAAATCTCCTGTCTACCCTCATACCTTCTCTCACTTTGTCTCGCTTATGGGAGCCACGTTTTGTTCCCTCGATCCTATGCTCACCAAACTCCTGACCACCCAGCTTCTCCTGCCCCACCCAACCTATTTCACTGATATTATAAAAGGTTGCATCCCTTCAGGTTTTGTTCCACTTTCTGATAACAATCTGTTATCATCACTCTTTTCCTCAAATAAACAATTCTTAACACACCAATAATTATTCTAAACTGATGGTTATTCTGGACAAGTCGGATCTCAGAATGAAACCTGGCTTGAAAAATAACTTTTATTTTTGCAGTTGGCTACCATAATAGTTAGTCACTTAACATATTAAGCTGAAATTGCCAGCGTTCTTGTAACAAAAGAACTTAAGTTTAATCCCACAAAAAGGAAAGAAACACAGACAAAAACTATATATATAATACATATATTGTATGCAAGTCAATTTGTGAAGGTTTTAAACCACAACAATACATACTTATCCTATTTCCTAGCAATATCCCTTTCAGATACTCAATTGCAGAGAAATATTGCTCCTATTTTAACTATTTAACTTCTTAACGGACTCTAGTTTTTCTTCTTAGATTGCTGAAACAGTATAAAATTTCTTTCCAATTCTGATGGCCTAAATCACTTTTTAGTTCTAACAGTCTGAAAACACAAACCATCTCAACTTGGAAATTTCACAAACTAATCTGCTCTTCTTCTGGGATGAAACTGTTCTTCTGAAATGAAAGCTTTATTCTTCTGCTTGGATGAAACTGAAACCTGATTCTTCTGAAATAAACTCCGTCTAAACTGGCAGTGGCCTCTTATCATTTGTTTTTCTGTATGTCATAACCTCAGCAATGTTAACACTACTTCAACTAACATCACAGGTATCCTGATAGATACTTAATAAGTCTGATTTTCTTGGAAATGATATATTTAGGTCACTTTTCAAAATTACTTCCTGACCCTTTTAAAAGGGAACTTACTATCCTATAACTGAAACCAAAATCTATTTTATTTCTACTTTTAGAATCCAAGTTTCCATATGATAATACATACTTCTACCAGAGATCTCTGCCATCCACACAAACTACCATCCCAACTCCAATCTGCTTTTCCTCTCCAGTGTCCGATAAGCCTTGCTGCCTCCCAAATCGATCTCCATCTTTTCTAAAACTTCATATTTGAATCTCTCCATTTTAGTTTTTCCCTCAGATAAGTTTCAAAATGGCTCTTATCAAAATCAAAAACTAATGTCCCATGTGAACGTAAACAAGGTATCTTCTCCCCAGATAATATCAACCTATGTAAAGCTGTTCACAAGGTGTCCACAACATTCCCTTCCAGTCATGGCTCTATTCTGGTATATCCCATCTCATTCTAATCTATATCTCCCCTTACCACCTGCATCATTATCCAAAAGCACAGAATTTGTTTTCACATATATGCTAACCTCATGCAGCTTTACTTCAGCACCACTTCTGACAACCCCACTGTTGCTAAATTAGATATTTCTTATCCACTTCCCCCCAAGTACTGGAATATTTGAAATTTCTCCGATCAAATTTTGGAAAACCCGAAGCCATTAATTTTGCTGTAAACTTTGTTCTCTAGGTACTGAATTCCATTCCACTCCCTCAACAGTATGAAATCAGGCCTGTTTGTTTGATATCTTATTGTCACTTTCAAACATGTGATGAACTTCTGATCTCATACCTACATTATCACTAAGACCACCTATTTTCTTCCTCTGGAACATTGCCTGATTTTCCTTCTCTCAGTTCATCTGCTAAAACCCTAAAATCTCTAAACCTCTCCACCATGGTTTTCTTTTTTAAGATTCTCCTTATAATGTTACATCTTTTACCAAGCTTTAGGTCATCTGATTAATATCTCCCTGTGTAGCTCCTCATTTTGTTTTCTGCTGCTACTGAGAAGTTCCTTGGAATGTTTCATTATACTGAAAGTGCTATATAAATGTAAGCTGTTCTGAGAGTGAATAAGTGAAGAAGTGACAAAATTTCTGTTGATGGGATGGATCAGGTAGTCATTGTCAGCAGTGTCATGGATACTTGTGCATTTTAATGTTTGTTTGTGATTTTTAGAGAAGGGAGTTGTGTTTGGAGCTCCACTAACAGAAGAAGGAATTGCTCAGGTTTATCAGCTGATCGAATATCTCTACAAAAGTGAGTGAAACTGCAACATTAATTCAGTAATAAGACATCTGGCTGGCTACACAGTCTTGATCTGTCTTCACTGTCTTCTGTTGCCCTCTCTGCCCTAGTCTCCTTTTAATTCTGTCCCAACCAGCTTCTCCTGTTCAACTTTTTCCCTCCATCTTACCCTCTCCTTCCCTATTTTTGCTCCCTTCTTATTTCTATCTTCATCTTGTTCTTTCCCCTTTTCTAATAACATTACTTAGAATAAACCTTGAACCTGCATTTCAGCCCCTCTTGTGCAGCTTCTTCTTTAATCCCACGTTACAGGGCACTCACAGTCTTTCATCAAGCAAACTGTCTTGCAATATCATTGAAGCTGTTCAAAAATTTTATGTAACAGTGAAACAGAGAATCAGGGAGAATTTGAAAATGATTATTTGCCTCTAATGATTAGAAAGCACAGACAATCCGTCATAATCCTGAGCTCAGAGGTGTATTGATAGTTAGCCTCATTGCGATGAGTTTGGAGTCACATGTCAGCCAGATCAGGTAAGGATGGTAGATTTCCTTCCCTAAAGGATATTAGTGAACCAAATGGATTTTTGCATGTGTTTTTATATGCTCTTAAAGTAAACACTTACCTGACAGTTCTATTTGCATCATGTCACTAACTCTTCCAGCCTTAAAGACCATGTGTTTATATCTCTGTCTTCCTCCATCACAGATCTCCATGTGGAGGGTCTTTTTCGTATTCCTGGGAACAGTATGCGACTGCAGTGCCTGAAAGAAACTTTAAACAGCGGAGTAGATGTAGATCTGAATTCTGGAGAGTTTCATCCAAATGACGTAGCAACTTTATTGAAAATGTTCCTTGGAGAATTACCAGAACCTCTGCTCAGTCATAGACATTATAATGCTCATCTCAAAATAGCAGGTACAAGGAGTCACAGTCTGTGTAAGAGGGATAGGGAGCAATAGTCTGTGGGTGGGAGAGATGTACGAATATATGGAATAGGAGCAGAAGTAGACCATTTGGCCCCTCAAGCATGTTCCGCCATACAATAAGATCATGTCCGATCTTGTTTATGTTTCAAATTCCATATTTCCACCTACTCCTAATAATCTTTTGAATTTACTGCCAAATAAGAATCTTTCCACCTCTATCTTAAAAATATTCAATAATCCTCTCCATGCCTACATTATCAAGACCTCTCAGGATCTTTGTAAACTTCAATCAGGTCACCTCTCTTCTAAACTCCAGTAGAAGTAAGTCCAGCCTGTCCAACCTAAGACAGCCCACTCATTCTAGGTATAAATATAGAAAACCTCTGAACCACCACCAACAGGTATTGCTTACACCCTTGACTTGCACCTTCTAGATGGTGGACAGGCTTTGGGGAGTCAGGAGATGAGTTACTCAGTGCAGGAGTGTTAGCCAAAGCACTTAGATGAGTGATCCAGTTCAGTTTCTGGTCGATGGTAAACTCCAGGGTTTGATATTGGGGAATTCAGCGGTGGTGATGTCATGGGTGATGGTTAAATTCTGTCTTGTTGGAAAGGGTCATTGTCTGGCGCTTGTCTGACAGGAACGGTATTTACCACACAACTGTCTACAACTTCCTTATGTTTTCACAACATCTTTTCCTACATATGTTGACAAAATTAGCTACCGTGTCTTCACTTCCCTCACCTAAGTCATCGATGTAAACTCTTAAAAATTAGTTAACGCCTCTGCACAAACTCTTGCAAGACTCAACTTGTCAAATCAAACAAATCAGGCAAAGACTGTTTGTGCGTCGTTCATTTTCTGGCAGCCAAGTCATGCAAGATGTTACCCCCTACACTGAAATTTATTTTCTGCAGTAGCCTTTGATGTGGTACTATAAGAAATGTCTTCTGGAAATTCAAGTATAGTATGTCCACAGGCTCCCTTTATCGACAATGCATGATACTCCTTTAAAGAACTCCCTTTGACAGAACCATGCTAACTCTTCATGATTACCTTATGTTTTTATACGTGTGCCAGCTATAATCTCTGAGTAAGAAAGACATGGGTAGAGGAAGCAGCAATCTAAATGTGAGAGAAATGGTTATATGGCACAGCAGTACGTGAAACAGAGAACCAGGTGTAGGGAGCAGCAGTATTTTGTTGAGAGAGTTGTATATTGGGATTAGCATTCGACTTGAGAATGACAGGGCAACTGCAGTGTTTGTGTGTGTGTTTGTGTGTGTGTGTGTGCGCGCGCGCGCACACGATAGAGAGAGAGATGAACAGAGAGCAGCAGACTGCATGAGGGAAAAGCAGATACAGGGGTGGGTTTAAACTGGTTTGTCACATGAAAAGAAACCGGAGAATAGTTGAAATTGGCAAGAAGTATAACTGGTTATTGGGAGTAAATAAAATGGAAAGTGAAATTAGAAGGCACATGAGATGGACGTGGATACTAGCAAAGCTTACAGTTCAAATAATGCAAATTAAGGACATAGAATCTGAATGTTTCAAATGCTGTGTATGATGTCAATGATTTAAAGGCATAAGTAGAAGTAAACAGATTTAGTCCAATGGATGCAGGTTAACCAGTTCTGAGAACTGAAATATTCAAAGTTTTTGACATGTAGGAGGGAGAGGCAAAAAATAAAATGATGTGGCATTGTACTGTTGGTAAGGGATAGGATCAGTGCATTGGTAAAGGAGAATCACCAATTGGAGAAACAGTACAAGCTATGATCAATGTATGCTATCAACAGGATGCATTGCAGTAACTCATGAAGGCTCCCTCAACAGCATAGAAGAATCATAGAATCCCTACAGTGTGGAAACAGGCCCTTTGGCCCAACAAGTCCACACCGAACCTTGGAGATCCCACCCAGATTCATCCCCCTATAACCCACCTAATCTACACACTCCTGAACACTACGGGCAGTTTAGCATGGCTAATCCACCTAGCCTGCACATCTTTGGACTGTGGGAGGAAACCCATGCAGACACGGGGAGAACGTGCAAACTCCACACAGACAGTCGCCCGAGGGTGGAATTGAACCCAGGTCCCTGGCGCCGTGAGGCAGCAGTGCTGACCACTGAGCCACCATGCCGCCCGAAATCTTCCGAACCTGCAGCCTTTACCACCTAGAAGAATGCAGCAGTGGCTGCATGAAATGCCACGACCTGCAATTTCCCCTCCCAAGTCATGCAACATCCTCACTTGGAGCCATATCACCATCCTTGCATTATCACTGGGTTAAAATCTTGGAGCTGTCTTCCTAAGAGCAATCTCCCCACGTTCCAAGGGTTACAGTGGATTAAGAAGACAGCTCATCACCACCTTCTCCAGGCAATTACGGGTCGGTAATAAATGCTGACTTATCCAGCAACACACACATCCCATGAACAAATTTAAAAACAAACAGCAGCAGTATGGTGAGGCATGCTATCAGTCTGAAGGGAAATATGTAGCATGGGTAAGGGAGTGAATGTTGGTGATTTTAATTTGCATATAGACTAAGCACCCTAATGAGCAATCATGTGGAAGATGAGTTTCAGGAATGTGTAGGGATGGTTTTCTATAACAAGAAGCAACTGCGGAGAGAAAGCAGAATTAATGTTTTGGATCCAGTGACCCTTCTTCAGAACTGATTTTAGATAGGAAATATATGCTGACAAATGGGTGGTGGAGATGGAGCCCAGAGGGAGACAAAAATAGTTGGGCAAACAAAGGAATAGGGTAAAGGTCAGCCTGGGAGAATGAATAGCTACTAATGGGGACCATTAATGGATGACAATGGGTTGTTTGTAGTAGCAGCCCATGTGACAACAAGGTCTGTGTGTGGGTGTTGGAGTAAGGACATGTTTTCTCCACAGATGCTGACAGACCTGCTGAGATTTTCCAGCAAATAAAAACCAAAAGAACTGTGGATGCTGTAAATCAGGAACGAAAACAAAGTTGCTGGAAAAGCTCAGCAGGTCTGGCAGCATCTGTGAAGGCGAAAACAGAGTTAAC